ATGTTTTGGTTTTATTGGCCTTGAGGCATGCGGGGTCTTACCGCCCCGATGAGGGATCGAACCCACACCCCTTAGCATTAGAAGGCAAAGTCCTAACCACTGGACCACCAGGGAAGTTCCCCCCTGCCCCCTTCTGAAGAAGCTATGGTTTTCTTCACTTTAAAATCAGGAGTTACCCTCCATGAACGTTATCATCCCACGTGAGTCAGGTGTTCTGGGTTATGCATGGTAACGAGCAACCCCTAAGTCAGAGCAATTTATCCCCACCGAAGTATATTTCTCACCCACACAGCATGACTAACTTGGGCAGCAGGGGACTCTTATCAAGGAGCTATCACAAAGCTCCACCATCTTGTAACCGCGCCGAATGGAATGTGTGTTCTTGGGCCCTCTCTTCCACACTCTGCTCTGGATCGGACACGCCACACTTCTACCCCTGCTTCATTACACAACTCGTTTCGCAGCCCTACTTAACGGCAAGGGCCTGGGGGAGACGTTGGCTGAGCCTCACAGCCTCCATCAGCAGTTTATGATCCTATGATGCTGTTGGGGGCGTTCTCTTATTTATTTTTTAATGCCCTCAACTGTCAACACCACACACATGTTCGTTCCTCAAAAACTAAATTTAATGGAATACCTTGATGAACGCCCAGGCCCCCTCCAGGTGCAGACTGTATGATGTTTTCTGAGGAGCTTGTTCTCCTTTGCTAGGCAAAATTAATTGCGTGGTTTGGCGGTACTTCGTGCATGCTGATGGTTTTGCATTTGTCACAGCCCAGTTTGTTGCTATTCTTTCTCCTCTGATAGAATATAGTCTCCAGGATGGCAGACACTCATCTTTATCCACCTTTGTATTACTGATGCCTGAGAAGATAGAGATGAAAAGAAGAAATGGGTGGAAAAAGTTATTCTAGGAAAAATAATGATAAAAATAATATTTTAAGTTCCACGTGCTCAAAATACTGATTAAGTTTTTAATATCTATAATATACATAGATGCCTGTCTTTTTCAATTCCTATAATAATTCTATAATGTAGGTAACTGAGATTGCATTTCACAGCAGTCAAATAACTTTCCCAAATTTCTGAGGTAGAAAATGCTAGAGGTGAGATTTGAATCCAGGCCTCTTTGGCTGCAGAGTTCTACTTCTGAACCATTATGCTATGCTGACTTCTATCCTGATATGTATGTTTTATTTATTTATTTAAAATTTTATTTTATTTTATTTATTTATTTTCAGCTGCGTTGGGTCTTCGTTGCTGCATGTGGGCTTTCTCTAGTTGCAGCGAGCGGGGGCTACTCTTCGTTGTGGTGCAGGGGCTTCTCATTGCGGTGGCTACTTTTGTTGTGGAGCACGGGCTCTAGGCGCGTGGGCTTCAGTAGTTGTGGCACCCAGGCTCAGTAGTTGTGGCTCGCAGGGTCTAGAGCGCAGGCTCAGTAGTTGTGGCACACAGCCTTAGTTGCTCCGCTGCATGTGGGATCTTCCTGGACCAGGGTTCGAACCCCTGTCCCCTGCATTGACAGGCGGATTCTTAACCACTGCGCCACCGGGGAAGCCCCTGTATGTTTTAATAACAAGCACATAATTAAAAACATAATTGTGATTGGTTGAAAAGTTGACTATGCAAAGTAGTGTCAACTTGGAGTAAAGCCTTCCACGAATGGCAAGAGACCTGGATTCTATTTCCCACTCACTGGCTGTATGACTTCAGCCAAGGATCTTCATTTGCCTCATCCCAGGTTCCATATCTGTAAACTTATAAGTTTGGATCATTAATTTTCAATTTTACTGTACATACTGGAGACTGTTAAAATGCAGATTCTGATTCAACAGGTCCAGGGAGTCTGAGGTGCTGTAACTCTAACAAGCTTCTTGGTGATGCTATTGTTGCTGGTCCAGGAAGCATATTTTGAATAGCCAGGAGCTACGTGATTGCTAAGGCTTCCTACTGTCTGAGTCTGTGAGTCATTAGAAACTCTTGATTGAACTGCTTCTGAATTTCTATAACTGGCACAAAAATATGAAGCAATTGGTTATCTTAACATCCAGGTACTTGATCATTCACCCCAACATTCACTCTCTCTTCTTCCAGCAGTAAATCTAGAGTCTCCCTGGAGATTCTCTCCAATTTTCAACCTGTGCTTCAGGTGAATTTGGAAGGCATCGGTGTTTATAATTTTCTGGCCACTACATTTGGTTCAGGGAATGTCACGAGACCGATTGAAAGCCAGTAAAGTACAATCAAATGTGTGCCTGAGAATTCAGGGATGGGGCAGAGACTGTTTTTGCTGGACTTGAAGGACTAGAGCGGCCATGGCCATCTCACCTTACTACCGTGTGCACAGTAAGGTTATACAGAAAGAGAAAACAGATCGAAGATATGGAGGGAGAGAAGCCAAGTCCTGGGAAGTCTTTTGAGCTTTACTTGTAAGAGTAACTGGGATGGCTCACCCATACATGGATACATTTATTAACATGCGTGCATATGTGTGTGTGCCCTTGCACACGTGTGCCATGTGTGATTACCAATTAAAGGCATATCAACTGTGTAGGTTCAATCTCCTCCCAGATTAGGGCCTTAGACCCTGGGATCTGGGCTCAGCATTGGAGAATGGGCCCGAGGGATTAATTCCTGAGAATTCAAGGCTGAAGACACCACTAAAAGCCAAGCAGAAAGTACAGCAGAGGCATGGATGAAGCAGAGGGATAGGAAATGGGAGGTAGGCTACAGGACCACTAGAGAGTCAAGGCCATAGCCCAAGGGATAAGAACGGGACCTGCAGAGAGGTCCTGAGCTGCTGGTCTCTGGCTGTGATGCCTCCCACAGGGAAACTGACCTCTGCAGTAGGTGAGGAAGGAATCATGAGGTGTGCCAGGCCAGGAGGATGTAGAACGAGGTTGTGCTACTCTCTCAGGCCTTAATAAGGCAAAGTCACAGACTATGGATTGAAATTTGTTTGGCTAGGAAACCGCTGCTTACAGTGCATGTGCCTGCGTGTGTGTGTGTGTGTGTGTATCTGTGTGGGTGGGTGTGTGATTATTTATTTTCTGACAGAAGCAGTAACCTCAAATAGTCCCTTGAGACTGGGCAGCGATTATGAATGTCACAGATGAACTCCTTGTAGGATGGCCAACTTCACTTTGACCTGTGGCAAAGCTATTTGAATTTTATTAGGGAAGCAGGCCAACCACCCTATTAGACCTTTGGGTGATTAAAAGAAAATCATCTTATAAAACGTTCCATTATGGAGGTCTCTTAACTGACCGTGGCTTCTTGATGAATTTAAAATATCTGATAGGCAGATAGCATAACAGTAACAATTTGTCTGAATCAGACTAAGCACACTCAATTTTATGGAATATCACGACATCGGTATTTTTCCTATTTATGAGCAATCCCCTTTTTTCCCCCATCACCCCAAACATGGCTGCTTCAGCATATTCCAAAATCCATGTTCCCAAGATTGTTTTTGTCTTGCTTCAGTAACTCGGGAGCATTTATCCATGTAATAGCATGGTCTTCCGCTCCACTGCTTATATAGCCCTCACACCTCAATGAATTTGCTTGATGGGATGCAGACAAAATGCTGCTTAGTATATTTTATATATCTAAATGAATACTTATAGCAAACAAAGGAGGCAGATATTTTAAAAGAGATATAATCATTTTGAGGCAAGTGGCTAATTAAGTTTTTATCATATATAATAACTTACATTCTGTGTACCCCTCACTTGCCTTTCAGGACAGTGTGTTGAGCCATATTTGCCTGAACGGTGGATACTGACATGTTGGTTTATTAATAAAGCAAAACACAACCTAAAATATGATTGTAAGCTGCTCTCTTGCTTTAATTATTCTACAATAGTCATTTACATGTACAGAGATACTATGTGTTTTCTGAACGGGAAATTTGTGATTGGGGAAATTAGACAAAACAATTTATTAAAAGGATGCCCATATTATGGTACAGACTCATAGAGGAATCTAATGCAGTTGAGAAGAAAGAATGCAATAGGTTTATACTTGCTGACCGGGAAGAATTTTTAAACACAAAGACAATTTTGTAGTAAGTGTATTTCATGTAAACCTGTTTTTATTAAAATATTAATAGTAAAAATAATACTTATAAAACTATGAAGGAAAATACTTATAATAACTCCTTCTTATAAAACTATGAAGGAAACAGTAACCAAATTGTTTTCACAAGAGAACTAAGATAATGTGTTACTATCTCTTTCTGAATACATTTCCATATAATTTTATTGTGGAATTTATTTTATAATGAGAAAAACAAAGTAAATGTTTTCTTTGTTTCCCAACTTAGTGTATATAGAAATAATTCTGGGCTACCATTGGAAATCTGACCACCAAAAAATGATCTGTAAGGTAAAATGAAGCAATTTCTCTCTCTCTTTTTTTTTTTAATTGAAGTGTAGTTGATTTACAGCACTGTTCCAATCTCAGCTGTGCAGCAAAGTGACTCCATTATAGGCATGTAGACATTCTTTAAAATGAAACAATTTATATTGCTGTTTATAGAAAAAAAGAATATGATAGAAATCCTTGAATGTCTGGCTTGGCAGGGAACTTAGGGACAGGGAATCTGATTCCTCGTTTTGGTGATGGGGAAAACGAAAGATTAGCAAGAGAGTGTCTTTCTTGAGCTCAGGCAGTCGGTGCATGATGAGATGGCCATGGACCTGAGGTCCCAAGATTCCCCAGAGGCCCCACCCACCGCTCTCTCCATGAGAATATTCTTTCCTGTTTAAAGGTAAATAATACCCAAGATTTGAAATATGTCTGCCATTGCATCTGAAAGCTAAGTAATACTTTATCTCATTAACTTAAGAATCCTAAAACACCTGTGTCTTCACTGCCTGTATTTTATTACTGTGCTGTACGATTCTCGTTTGGAGTGTGGGAAATGAATTAATCATGACTCTTCCTTGCAGCCCTGTGAGGCGGTGAGCTCTTATTATGGTACCTTCATTTTCCAGGTGAAGGAACACGGCACCAAGAGGATAAGTGATGTGCCCCGGGTCACACGTTGGGTCAGTGGCAAAGTGGGTAACAGTCAAGCCCGGGTTGGAGGGTTTTATCTCAGATTTGTTCTGTTCCTCTTCATTAAAAACAAGTTCAGAAAGATCCAGGACACTTACAGATTCTGGTATTTGGGGATTTCAAGGGTTCGATATTTTGTAGTCAAAAAAAAAAGAAACAAAATTATAAAGTTAGAAAAGCAAATATAACAGGGATATTAATAGAATAATTAACTCTTCACCATTGAGCCTAGATTTGCATATTTGTGAAGTACGGAGTACTTACAAAATGCCTGTGTTTAAACAATCTATTTCCCTTCTATGAGAAAAATACTCTTCATCTGCTTTGTCTTTTATAAAAATGTGCACATGTCCTATAGAAAGGTTTTAAATTTGCCTATCTCAGACTTGCATGATCTAGCAATGAATTTGTTTTTAGTAGATCATTCTATGCATAAGAATATTTCAATTATGTTTTTTGAAATCTAAATCAATCCTCTATTAATTTGATGGGAAAGAGTCAAATAAGGTGAAACACATTATTCAGACTCTCCTGAGACCCTCACACCCACTGGGACTCTTAATTCATCAAGTACACTTGTGAGAATTCACAAACAGTTTTTTTTTTTCCATTTTAGGTCTTTGGGGGGGAACTTGTTTATACATGCAAGTAACTTTAGTCATATGCTTCCTTATGAAACACACACATTGTTCATTCGTGGAAAGCACTGAAGCTCCTGCCTCCCACGACAAGGGCAGAAATTTGGTGATCAGAGAATGGAGTGAACTGGGTACCAGTCAGCATCTTAGTTGCCTCCAGGAGTCAATATGGGTTTCTGTCAAGTGACAACTGACCCAGGAAAGCAGCAACAGCACTTTTAGGATAACGTGGCTGGGGGAGTTATCTGGGCTTTGGGTTAGAGTTGGCCTTACAAAAGCAGTATTATGAGTTGCTTCCTAGGTTGAGTGCGGGTAGAGAGGGCAGTCTTCAGATACACAGGCCCAGGTGACCTCCAGAACGTGATGACTTATAATGGAGACCACCTGCATTTGCAGTTAGAGGAACCACTGCCCCCAACCCAGTAATGTTGGTGTAGAGAGATGAGCAGAGCTAATCGCACCCTTCCTCCCACAAAGTATACGTTCTTCCTTCCAGACTAAGTCTGCAGAAACCTCCATGAGTACCAGCCGAATCCAAAGACAGTTCTATACAGAGGACATGGAATGGGCTCTGTCATTCCGGGGGTGGACAGCAAGGGGGCTAGTTTGGTGTGTCCTGAGGGAGGGCTGGTGACACCTCGAGGAAGGCTAAAAGAGGGTACTGCAGGAGAAGCTGGGAAAGAATCTGGGGAGATGGGGAAAGTCAGACATAAGAAGCACATTCTAGGAGTGTGTGGGGTTGGGGAATGAGTCGTCCCCTCCATAGATCTTTTGTCAAGGGCTATGATGGAGGAGGGCTCTAGGCAGAGAAACTAGCATGAAACATACTAGTTGAGGTGTGACAGTGGCATGTTGTAACTAGAAAGATGGTGGAAAGTGTGGGCTAATGACTCTAGAAAGGGGAATTGAGACAGATCGTGAAACTTGTATGATTTTTCCTTCCTGAAAAATTGATCATAATAAGCGTTAGCTAGAAACATTTCGAGTGACTCATTTGCCTTTTGGCCAGTATTACTTATGACCTTATTACTAAAAATATATGATCAAATCATAGAGAGGTGGACACAGTTTTCTTTTGGTGAGCATCATTTAGCTAGAATAATATTCTTTGCATAGCATTGTCTGTAAATCTTTTTGTGCTAGTTATCTACATTCACTGGAGAGCAGTAGTTTAGAGATGATCCATTTTGCAGGTGATTAAATGGAGAGCCAGAGGGGCTGGGGCATTTCCAAAGCTACAGAGAAAATCAATGGTGAAGCTACGACAGGAATCAAGACTCCTCAGACCCAGGCTGATATCATTTTCCATTGAACTGTACTATCTAGTACTACTTTAGCTAGAATACTTTCCCTGGCAAATATTTCTCTCCCTCCCCACTCCCTTCACAAACCTGGAAAGGAAAGATAGGTCGGTTGAGTGACAGGGTCACCTGGAACTAACACAAAAAGAATGGATAATTTCTTCGCCTGCATCATTCTCAGTAGGATGTATTTCCTCTCTCTCTCTTTCACTCACGCCCACCTCCTCCACATGTTCCAGCCCCACAAGTCAACGCTCTCCATTTTATAGGGCTGTATTGAGTCCAGCTTAATAGTGTATCTTGCAAAATATCTATATTAGATTTATTTTATCCTTCAGAGGAGAAATAATCACAGAAAACAAGAGTATTTCTTTCATTTAGGTCATAGCTTGTCACATCTAGCCCAAGAAGCACTAGCTGAAATTATTTGTTACATCTCATCTGGGTGCTGCAAAAAAATTAGACATTGTTTTGAAACATCATCGCGTTAGATCTCTTCTTGGTGGAGAGTTTTCATTAATTTATGCAATTGTCAAGCTGCTTCATGTTTAAGTATATACTCTGTAGAATGAATTCTTTTCTGGGCATCACGAGAGTGCAGAATTTAGAAACAATGTAGCAACAGAGAGGATTTGCCCTTCTATTTATTTTCTCTCTTTTGGGAGAATTTGTTATTTTAAAAAGGAAGCCTGCAGTGCAATCTGTTTCATTCTGCTCTGATGGTAACCTTCCCTTGTACAACATATCAATTTTGAATGATACGGATTCCTTCTCCCCATAAACACACAAACCTATCAAGCTCCGAGATGGCTGACAAAGCTTTAACTTTACTGAATGTGATGCTATAATTAAGGAAATGTGGACTGTGGAGGTAATCATTAGTTCTTCTGTATGAACATCTAGCCCAGGATTTTGCCGCCTACTATGTTTCCTTGTTAATGACAATGTTGGGAGGCTTCCATGTAATTGAAATTGCCCCCTTTGAAGAATTGATGTGTGAAGTGATCATGTAATCTCATAATGAGCTAGCAATGGAGAGATGAAGAGAATTTATATACTGGCACAAAGTGGAAATAACCAGTCGTACAGTAAATTTCTGTATGAATCTGTAAGTTTGTGCAGTAGAATTAAAGTAGGTATTACCCACTGCTGCATAAATTTAAAAAATGCTTCTAGGCTATTTTAGGTAGATCATAAATGAGTTCCAATCATATTCCATGGATTCAGCCATTCGGGGTGGAGGACCATATATGTCTTATGTGGGGTTGGGTTGTGAAGTGTATTGCTCAGCTATTTCTGTGACAGTGTTGCATTCCAAGCGTCCCACCAAACTTGCTCAGGGGTCTGTGGGCCTGATGCACTTTGGCGAGGCTGGACTCTGGGTTCCAGGCTACGGGCTGTGGTTTGGGTTGCGTTTGGGTTTGCTCCACGAGTTTCTCATCCGCTTGGACCAGTAGCCATCCAGAGTCTGCTCTTCATATAGCAAATGGCAGGACTGCAAGAGAGCAAATTGAAACCCGCGACCCGGCTGGAGTTCTCAGCCCTGAAATCTCACACTGTCTCTTACACCTATGGTTCATTGGCAAGTTGCAGGGCCAAGCTCAACATGAACACAGAGGGCAGGAGTTCTAGGTCACATGGCAAAGGCATGAATGCATAGAATTATAATATATATAATAATTGCAAATAGTGATTGAAGCCACAGCAAGGCCAATAATCTCCATTCCTACAAATTCCCCAGCTGGTTCTTATGACCCCCATCCTTGAGAACTATTGGATATATTTTGTTTATTTTTGTAGTCTCCTTACTCACAGTTTCTCTAATCAGCAATAAATGTCAAATTGTTAATACTGAATTCACTTCGAATGAGGATCACGTGCTGTGAGGGGAGTATTTGCTCCCTGAAGGGTCTTGTCTGTTTCTTGGGGATTTGTTTCAGGATACATATAATTAGGGCCAAAGAAATGTTTAAATTTTGTCTCATTTAATCGCTAAGTACCTTTTAGAAAATGTGGAAAACTCTGTCGTAGAAGCGTCCATGTCATCCGTAAACCCCCTCTGTCTTGGGGAGGAAAGAGAGCTGCCACCTCCTCCACCAGCATCCTATACCCCCTTCTCCTCCTGGATGTCTGGCCAGTTCCGCGCATGGGAAGAAAGGCTACACCTGCTTAGCCCAGGTTATGTCCGAACTGCTCTCAACCTTAGATATGTATGGGTATAGAGTTGTGTTCAGTTCTCCAGGAAAGAATTTAAGTATAGGATGCATTTACTATCAAATTCACACATGAGAATGTATAGTGCCTTTGCCTGAAAGGGCACTTAGAAGTTCATATTCTTTTTTTTTTAATTTATATTTTATTTTTTTTGGCTGCATTGGGTCTTCGTTGCTGCGCGTGGGCTTTCTCTAGTTGCGGTGAGTGGGGGCTACTCTTCATTGTGGTGCGTGGGCTTCTCGTTGCAGTGGCTTCTCTTGTTGCAGAGCATGGGCTCTAGGTGCGTGGGCTTCAGTAGTTGTGGTGCGCGGGCTCAGTATTTGTGACTCGCGGGCTCTAGAGCACAGGCTCAGTAGTTGTGATGCACGGGCTTAGTTGCTCCGTGGCATGTGGGATCTTCCTGGACCAGGGCTCGAACCCATGTCCCCTGCGTTGGCAGGAGGATTCTTAAACACCGTGCCGCCAGGGGAGTCCCAGAAGTTCATATCCTTTAGCAATTTATTTTCATATATTCTAATGGAAAGGAAAAGAAAAATGGTTAAAAAGACCTCTAGGTCCTTACTGCATAGTTATTCATGAAACCCTGCTGAGCCTTACTGTACTCCTTGCTCCACAGTAGTCCATTCATTTTATTTTCACATTGTCTGAAGACAAGTGTATTTATGGAGCAGACTACTTGAAATAAGAACTGTCCACTAAACCTTGAAAACGTAGTCGCTGAGTCTATAGCTGGCTTACCATCCTGGTGCTCTCTCTCAACACTGAAGCTCTTTTAGAAGAGACCTTTTATCCACTTTATAAGTATCAGGCCCAACATTACATATAAGCATTTCACAGGATGCAGAGACGGAGAAATGAAGGAGGCAAGAAGGTACTGTTCCTCTGTTCAGCCCCTTGCACTAGGTTTGTGTCCTAAGGAAAGAGGAGCATCTCTGTGTTTCTACATGGAACACGGCCCTAAGGAGAGTGAAGGGCGCACCGGGCTGTCCTTCCATCTTCAGGGTATGAACCACTCTTGCAGGTTTCCTGGCAGACTAGAAAATGAGGCTCTTTCATGGAGGGCACACAGCAGTGTCAGTGTGACAGAGCCATCCTCGGATATCTTAGCTGACACCTGACATCCCAGTGGCTGCCAAAGTGGAAGAACAAATGGAACATGTTTTTGAAACCCATGCAAACATCTCTGAGGATGCTCAGAGTCCTGGGCAGACTCAGTGTGTGTGTACTTAGGGACCAAAATGCTACAACAAGACAGAACCATAAACCAGGAAATTTTTGCTTGATACCATTTCTCGAACTCTATTTACGCCCACAAATAGGTGAGACCCAAGGCAATTCAGGTCACACTGACAGATGCATTTGGCCAAGCTGGTATGTTGAATACCAACTGTTGAGTTTCTTGACCTCATCTGAACAGTTCTCTGATGTGTATGGTCAAAGGAAGGTCATGGATCCCAGGAAAGCATCTCCCTGCCACACCTGCTCTGTCCCTGCGTTCTTTGTTCCTGTAAGTCCCCAGTTCATTGCCGTCTCCTGCTCCCACTCTCCTTGCTGGCACAGGCTTTTTTGAAAATGATGTGTCTCGTTCCTGGCTCATTCGTTGGCATTTCACTGAAACACCTGCTATCAGACCTCAGGAATAGGGAGAGTTATTTTTTTGCCTGGTCAGGAATGAGCATTTGGTGGGAGTCATTTCTTTAGTGTGCAATGCCCTGAACCCAGTGCTTTGGGTGTGGAGGTCCGAGGCATTTCCTTGGGGAATCTGGTCAGCTTCCTGGTATAGAAGACTTAAGTTAGGCACAATCCTTAAAGCAGTCCTATGAGAACTTATAAAATACACTTCTATGTTAGAAATGTCCTAGCAATTTTGGAATTAGGTACTTTTGAGTATTTTTATTCCGTAGACATCATGGATGCCATATCTCAGTTGCATTTCAATTACTGGCTTACACTTCCGCAGTATAAATTTTGTAACTTCTCGCCCACAAACTAGACTGAGCACTGAGTTTGCTTCCTTTATTTCCCTCCCTCCCTCCCTCCCTCCCCCTTTCCCCTTCCTTGTTCCCTCCCTCCCTCCCTCCGTCTCCCTCCTTCTCCTTCCTTCTCTCTCTCCCTCTCTTTCCCTCTCTGGCTTGGGTGATTGATGATGCCATTCAGAAACAGAGAGGATGATCTATTCAGTTTCTAATATGTCACATTTGAATTATCTAAACAGGTAGAGATATTCTCTACCCAGTTATGTCATACATAGTAGAAACTTTATAAACACCTGTGATTAAATATATTTGGGGTCCAGTTCTGGAGCTCAGCAGAGAGGGCAGCCTGAAGATGTAAGTAGGGGTCTTCAACATACAGGATGGACGACATGGGCGTCTTGGGTTTAGAAGATGTCCCTTGGGGAATCTGCACAATGTGAGAATGAAGGATAAAGCTCTGGGGAAACAGACCAGGGGCCGGCAGAGGAGCTGAGAAGGAGCAGTTAGAGAAAAGTGAAGATAACCAGGAAAGAGAGAGGTAATGGAAACTGAGGGAAGAGAGGATGCAAGAGGGACTGCGGGACAAAGAAGAAAAGGCCTGCAGTGCCCTGAATCCTGCAGCCCCCAGCCCTGGCACCAGGGGGCAGGGAGCAATCACTATATAGTCACAAAGTTTGCTGCTTTTTATAGAGAGGAAGGACTCATTCAGAACCAGAATGAGCGACATTGCCCCCTTTAAACATTATTTTTTATTAATAAACCTCCACAGAATTAACAGTATTTTAGTTTAAAAAAATTTGTCTCTTCTTTTTTTTTAACCATTACTCATCATCTCTTTGATGATTTGCTCAAACCCAGTACACATGTATAGTGGTATCAGAACTGAGAACTGAGGGAAACCACTTTATTAACGAGAGAAGAGTGCTTATTTATAGAGTTCCTTTAGTCCTCACTCTTATAATGTCTACTCATTTTCAGATAAACTCCCCTTCCTTTAATGAAGTTATGTCATAGATCTGTAACACAGATTCTTTGTTTAAATTTAAAAACATTTAAAAATAAATGTGTACCCCCTTCACTCATTTCTCCTACCACCCCACCCCCTGCCTCTGGCAATCACTACTCTGTTTCCTGTATCTGTGAGCTTGTTTTGTGTTTTGTTTGTTTGTTTTAGGGTCCACATATAAGAGAGATCAAATGGTATTTGTCATTCTCTGTCTGACTTATTTCACTTAGCATCATGCTGTCCACCCATGTTGTTGCAAATGGCAAGATTTCTTTTTTTTTTTTTTTGTGGTACGCGGGCCTCTCACTGTTGTGGCCTCTCCCGTTGCGGAGCACAGGCTCCGGACGCGCAGGCTCAGCGGCCATGGCTCACGGGCCCAGCCGCTCCGCGGCATGTGGCATCTTCCCGGACCGGGGCACGAACCCGTGTCCCCTGCATCGGCAGGTGGACTCTCAACCACTGCGCCACCAGGGAAGCCCAAGATTTCATTCTTTTTATGGCTGAGTAATAGTCCATTGTGGGTGTATGTGTGTGTGTATATATATAATATATATAAAATTCTTTATTCATTCATCCATTGATAGACACGTCTGTTGTTTCCATATCTTGGCTATTGTAAAATAATGCTGTAGTGAATATGGGGGTGCACATATATTTTCGAGTTAGTGTTTTTGTTTTCTTTGGATAAATACCCAGAAGTAGAATTACTGGGTCATATGGTAGTTATAGTTTTAAGTTTTTGCGGAACCTCCATACTGTTTTCCATAGTGGCTGCACCAGTTTATATTCTTACCAACGGTGCACAAGGGTTCCCTTTTCTCCACATCCTCACCAATACTTGTTATTTCTTGTCTTGTTGATAATAGCCATCCTAACAGATGTGAAGTGATATCACATTGTGGTTTTGATTTGCATTTCCCTGATGACTAATGATGTTGACCTCCTTTTAGATTACTGATTCAGTCTTCTTACTAGTAATTGGTCTGTTCCTATTTTCTACTTAATCATGATTCTCTCTTCATAGTTGTATATTTCTGGGAATTTATTTCTTCTAGGTTGTCCAGTTTCTTGGTGTATAATTTTTCATAGTAGTCTCTTACGATCCTTTGTATTTATGTTGTACCGTTTGTGATATTTCCTCTTTTACTTCTGTTTTATTTATTTGAGTCCTCCCTTTTTTTCTTGGTAACTCTAGCTAAAGACTTGTCAATTCTGTTTATCTTTTCAAAGAACCAGTTCTAAGTTTCATTGAACTTCTGTATTGTCTTTTTGGTCTCTGTTTCTGCTGTAATGTTTGTTATTTCCTTACTTCTACTAACTTTGAGCTTCATTTGTTCTTCTTTTTCTACTTCCTTGAAGTGTAAAGTTCGGTTGTTTGAGACTTCTTGTTTCTTGAGGTAGGTATTTATTGTTATGAATTTCTCTCTTAGAACTGCTTTTGCTGCATCCCCCAAATTTTGGTATATTTCCATTTTTGTTTGTCTCTAGGTATTTTTAAATTTCTCTCTTGATTTCTCCTTTGACCCATTGGTTGTTTTGTTCTTTCTTTTCCATGTTCACTCTTGTTTTAATTATATATGGCAGAGACCCTGACATTCAGAGTACCAAAAAAATCCCTCTTAATAACTACTGTTCCTACCAAATAGATATTTAACATATGATGCTTATTGAGAACCTACTGTGTACGTGGGGCTCTGCTAAGTACGGGAGGGGGTGGTTACAAAGAAGTATAAGGCTTGCTGTCTGCCCTCAAAGAACTTACAACAAAAGGCTGATGAACTAAGGGACACATTGGGCAGGCAATATACAAGATGTGATACATGTACAGGAAGGTGAGGCCGCTGTGATGTGATGTAGTTTGAAATCCAGACTTTGCTGCTTATTAGCTGTGTCAGCTTGAAAAATTAATGAACCCCTCTGAGCTTCATTTTCCTCATTTGTACGAACTACGTAGGCTTCGGACTACGAAGCCTACCTCGAAAGCTTATCATGATGTAATGAGCTAGGGCACATGGAAATCTTAAGGTGTCGTTATTATGGTTTCTCTGTGCTAGATACTCAAGAACGGCTCCTGGACGGGATTTGGGTTTGGCTTTGAAGAATGGATAGGGCTGAGAAAGCAGAAAGTTAGGGAAGGAAGCCATTCACCCAGAGCTCTCCACAGGCAACAGTGTGACCTAAGTAGTGTTTTTCTTC